CCCTCTAAGACTGACGAGTGCGGTCTCTAGGTTTGTTCTAGTTATATTTTTACGTTATTTGATGAAGAATTGGCAGAAAGTGTTAAGAACTAACAATCAAGCCTGGATCTCAAATGAATTTGCCAAAATATGAAGACAATCAAAACGAAATGATTATCGTAAAAATTCTGCAGCGTTCTTTAAGGACTTTTTATCAAAGGGCATTTGCAAGGTAGAGTCAGTCATTTCATAATTGGCAGGTGATTAGAAAATACAATAGCAATGTCTCAGGTTATCTCTCCTTTTATCGGGCCGTGAGGAATTATCCACAGTTTTTTTTTATATAACCTTAGCATAAGGAGGAAACTTTTTTGAAGCCAACAGCTGAAGCGGTTTTTCTCTCTCCGCGCCGATTGTTTAAATCTTTGTTTCAAACTAATGGAAATTGGTATTGAGCTTACAGACGGCAGGTGAAGAGATTCCAGTGAAAGAGAAGACACCGACCGAAAATACAACCACAAATGAAATTCTCGTAAGTATTCATCTTGTACTGCATATATAACACACTTCACTCTCCCTGTACATGAAAGAAAATTTAACAAACTTTCGTATCGATCGATAGAAAGTAACAGATATGAAGTTAGGCACGCGAATCCTAAGCCCCCCATTTACAGAGTCTGCTTTTGGTAAATATATAAACAATAGCCTCCATTTGGCGCGAAAATATGTTCGGATATTTGTCCGCAGACATTATCTGTTCCGAGAAGCGAACAGTTTTCCGAGAGCGAAGCTCGAGAAAAACTGTGAGCTTCGAGTAACAGATAATGTCCAAGGGCAAATATCCGAGCATATTTTCAAAGTCAAATGGAGGCTATTGTGTTTATTATCCTTCAAATATTTTTCACAACAAGCGCAGTTTCGAAAATTTTAAAACTAACCGAGCGCGAGGGCCGTACTGGGGAACATTGGCCCGAGGTCGTGGCATTACGGACCTAGCGCTGCGTTCGGTCCGTACAAAAACGACCGAGGGCCAACATTCCCCAGTACGGCTCGAGCTAGCTAGGTTAGTAAGTAGTTTATTAGTGGCACTCGGGCCATGCTTGTTTTGAATTTGCCGGATTTCGAGAACAAAAAATACACAGCTTATGACCGTTTCTATGGAAACGGTCCGTATGGCGAAATCCCGACTAAGAAAGAACCAATCAGAACGCTCGGATTTACCTCAAGACTACCTTGCCGTATAATAATCTCGGATATTCCCAAGTTTTAGCTGGGGAACATTCGGTCACGTGACGCGTGTAGACCAATCGCTCGCGAGCAAAAATATTTGATGGATTATAACATTTCTTTATTGGCAGGAAAACACAGAAAGTCGCGATACGAATGACAGCCATGCTCCGAACGAATCAAGCAACATCAAAGATGAGGTAAGTGCAATGTAATAACAGTTTTGATCAGCATGGAAAAGAGTGTGCTTTCGCGTTTCTTTTGTACATTGCCATGGTCATGGTTACTTTTTAATGCATATGATAAATATAACTGCGTGTAGAGCATGCCTTGATCGTGAAGGGCCTACGCGGCACATACTGATAATAGACATATTTATTTTACAGGCACGAGTGGACAAGTCGATTGAAGAAACTCCAAGTCAACAGGAGGACAAGTTGGAAAGGAAAGTAAGTAGAAAAAAAAAACGACTTGTCATGACATATATGTAAAATTTCTAATAAACTTTGCACTGAAAAGGGAACCACAATTGCAATATATATACGAGCTTATACACACAACGGTTTGGTAACAAATTAGCTCCTCGGCCATAATGGTCATAATGTATGGGTTTCCCTCAGGCTCAATGTCGTTTCAAACACGGCAAATCAAAGCTATAAAATAGACAAGTCAATGCAAATTGTACTTCAACGATGAGTCAAATCAAGCTGGCAATTTGTTATTGCCAGCACGGGGAAGGGAACTCCCTTCAAAAATTAACACATCTTTTTGACTGAGATTTCTATGGTATTTTCCTCGTAGAACTCCTTCCTGGATAAATATTTGAGTGAGAGCGAGCCAGAGGATGGGAAGTCAGAAGATGAAAAGCAAAAAGAAAAGCAAGTTGAAAGGTGTGAAACCCTAAATAAAGATATTAACTTGAAAACAACAATCTGTTTTCTTACCAACACTGGGATTCCCTTTCATGTTACCTATCAGAAAGTGTCACGTATTCAGCTTTAAATGTTTGGTATATGTGAAATTTAGTTGTCTAACTTGTATAAAATCTATAATTTCGTGTGTTGTCTTCAGTTTTTTTGCCAACAAGCTTCTTGCTACCGTAAATTAATGAAGTTGCTTCACTCCTTTTTCCAAGAATATAAGACACACATTATGCAAGCAGGCAATTATAAGTAGCAGACTCCTAAAGAATTGAATCTGTATTTCACATGAAAAATCGTTACGTCATCCTTAATTCATTTGATTCCTATCTCTACAGAAAGCCGGTTAAAAAGAAAGTTCAAAAGAAAACAAACAAAACTAGCAACGAAAAAAACCTTAATCATCGACAGCGCTCCATGAGATGGAAAGACATAAGACTTGTTGCTGGAGATGACAGGTAAAAAGGGACTGTTAGTCGCTTCAAGCTAGCAGATAACTGTAGGAAAGGTAGGCACGCAAGGCGTGCTAGTGCTAGTTTCCCATTGATGCCGTCTCGCACCGTGTTTGGATTGTCTGTTGGGAAAAGTACTACAAATACAGTTTCCTTTTCTTGTTTTACAGTTAACTCCGACTTCTAGAAAAGTTGCTCAATAATGTACAGGACCGCTCAACATTGTTACGTGTAATTTTAATTAAAAATGAATCTTGATCTTAGTTGTAAACGGGCCATTAAATAACAACTTCGTAACAGTCCGGTCCATAAACTTATCAAAAATGAAAATCGAGCAATAACAGTATTTCGTCAATGAGGATAAAAACAAGCTATACCTTGATGTCAAGCATCTGTATTTGCAATTTATCGCTAGTTTATGTATTTTTTTATCCATTGTCACAGTGATGAAGAAGCGAAGGAAGTTATAAAGCCGCCACAACCCAAAGTGAAACAAACTCGCAAAGAAAGGTACACATGAAGTAAACTAATTAACCTTCTCAATCCCAATAAATTGCTCCTCCAATTAGTTAACGAAACTTCTCCACCGAAAATGAATGCAATGTCTTTCGCTTTTTATTTTCTTTCCTTAAAAGAAAGTCTTGGGATTTGCACTAACTCTAAATATTACTATGTGATTGTAACCGTAAGCTGAGCTATAGTTTGTTGTGACTACTTTTTGTATTTTGTAATATTTGTCTCATCAGCATAATCGATTCAGTTTCTCAGTGATCAAGCTACAGAAATATCAGCTCTTAATGTTGAAGGGTGTATAATAAAACTTTTTTTGCGACGAGTTTTAAAAACTCAAGATTTTACATAGAATGTATGAGCTCATTAGTGCCTTTGCCACCCAGAAATTTGACCACCAATTTCACCAATTACTATGTTTCACAAGCACTCAGCAACGATAGCTGTATAAATGCAGATAACACAGTTAGCCAATTGCCACCATGCAACTAGTATCTGTTAAAACTGGCAAAACGTGCTCTACCGTGCATCTCTCTCTGAAATACAAACGTTGATCACGTTGGTCCAGAATCAGAATGTGCCTTACAGTATTTGCGGTACTTTTGCTCTGGTATTTTATCACAATTAAGACGAAAACCGATAGGAAATCGAGCAGTTTCAGTTTTTAGTGGACAAAAATCTGGTACCAGAATAATTTTAAGTATTTTACAGTCCTTTATACATTTTCTCAAAGCTAAAGATATAAATAGTTGCCTGAAATAACACCGAAAACAATTTCCCATGGGAACGAGAGAAAATAAATTTCAAAAATCAGAGAAATTGTGCAAACGCAGGTAAAATCTCATCCTCCGTTTCATTTCACCTGTACTTTCAAGTATTTCGTACAAAGTTCAACATTTGTTTTCGACATTCGGTGTTGCTAGAAATGATTTTTCGAGAAGATATTTATAACAGTCGTACAGAAGTTTGCAATGCGATGTAAATAATCTTAGTACTAGGTTTTTGTCCACTTAATTGTTACTCGAATTTCTGGTGGATTCCGTCTTAATTTTTATCATTCTATGTAACAAGCCGAAACAACAAGCAAAACGTCCATAGGCGGTCAACGGTTCCCAGAATTCCAACAGAGCAGGCGGAGAGTTCAACAGAGAGCGAAGAGGAAGATGACAGAGTGTTGGACGGCAAAGTGGTGAGCCCGCTATACGGTCGGCAGTGGTAGCTGAAATAACTGTTGTATTGTGATAATAAATACACGTAAATAAAACAACTAATTACAACAAATGATAGATGAATTAATCATCACTTTACATAGATATCGGCTAAAGTCCACTGATTCTGTTTAAATTTTCTGAAATAACGCATCAATGGAAAAAGCAAATTTAAAAAAATGAAGAATTGACAGACGCGATAAAGCCAGAGGGCGCAACGCATGCCACGCAAGCCTTGGCCAAGTAGGAGTTTTCTTTGCCGAAAAGGGGTGATCATATAACTAGACAACCAGTTGTGGACAAAATTAAAAAATAGTAAAGGGTCGCTTGCGATCCATCGATGAGAGAAAAAAAGCTTCATTTTTCTACCCATCTTCCCTGTCTACATCTTTGTTGTCATGTTTATCATAGTTAATAGAGGGGAAAGGTTATGAAGCCCGGAAAACATCAAAGGAGCAAAGAAAGATGGCAAGGGTTATGTCGAAAGGTCGACGACTGTGCACAATCTTAATTTTTACGCTCATACACTAGGCATGAATCACTTAACCGAAACATTTCTATTGATTAGTTCCTAAAGTCAGAAGTAAACAACTGTTGTGTTTAAGACACAGTCGAGGCCAAAAACGAGCACAAAAGCACACAACAAAGAACTTTGTAGGGTTTTAATAACCATTCTCTTCTATCAACTGTCTTTATCTTACAGAGCGTGGCTGATCTTCCCTCCGAGTATTGGCAAATACAAAGGCTTGTCAAGTTTTTAAAGGTAAGAACAGGTACTTTTCACTAATCGGTCCTGTATTGACGTCACTGAACGGTTCCTCTAAATCCAGCTTGACTTGAAATTCCTGTTTTCAGATTGGTAACCAGGTCGCCACGGTTATCACGCTGTGCGGCCTGACGGACTTCAACTTAACACAGGAGATGACTCAGATGGCCATCAGAGATGTCAATGGATTAACNTACTTCAACGATGAGTCAAATCAAGCTGGCAATTTGTTATTGCCAGCACGGGGAAGGGAACTCCCTTCAAAAATTAACACATCTTTTTGACTGAGATTTCTATGGTATTTTCCTCGTAGAACTCCTTCCTGGATAAATATTTGAGTGAGAGCGAGCCAGAGGATGGGAAGTCAGAAGATGAAAAGCAAAAAGAAAAGCAAGTTGAAAGGTGTGAAACCCTAAATAAAGATATTAACTTGAAAACAACAATCTGTTTTCTTACCAACACTGAGATTCCCTTTCATGTTACCTACCAGAAAGTGTCACGTATTCAGCTTTAAATCTTTGGTATATGTATAAAATCTAATTTCGTGTGTTTAATATCTTCAGTTTTTTTGCTTCATATACACTTCCCAACAAGCTTCTTGCTACCGTAAATTAATGAAGTTGCTTCACTCCTTTTCAAAAAATATAAGAAACAAATTATGCAAGCAGGCAATTATAAGTAGCAGACTCGTAAAGAATTGAATCTGTATTTCACATGAAAAATCGTTACGTCATCCTTAATTCGTTTGATTCCTATCTCTACAGAAAGCCGGTTAAAAAGAAAGTTCAAAAGAAAACAAACAAAACTAGCAACGAAAAAAACCTTAATCATCGACAGCGCTCCATGAGATGGAAAGACATAAGACTTGTTGCTGGAGATGACAGGTAAAAAGGGACTGTTAGTCGCTTCAAGCAGATAACTGTAAGAAAGATAGGCACGCAAGGCGTACTAGTGCTATTTTCCTGTTGACGAAGTCTTACACCGTGTTTGGTCTGTTGGGAAAAGCAGTACAAATACAGTTTCCTTTTTCTGTTTTACAGTTAGCTTTAACTTCTAGAAAAGTTGCTTAATAACGTATAAAACGCTCATCATTGTTAGGTGCAATTAAATGAAGCTTGATCTTATTTCCTGACAAAGTTGTACATGGGCCAATAAATAACAACTTTCTAACAGCCCGGTCCATAAACTTATCAAAAATGGAAATAGAACAATTCCAGTATTCGCCAACGAGGAGAAAGCAAGCTATACTTTGATGTCAAACATCTGTATTTGCAATTTATCGCAAGTTTAGATATATTTTTATCCGTTGTTACAGTGACGAAGAAGAGAAAAAAGTTATAAAGCCGCCACAACCCAAAGTGAAACAAACTCGCAAAGAAAGGTACACAAAGTAAACTAATTAAGCTTCACAGTCCCAATATAATTCTCCTCTAATTAGTTAATGAAACGTTTTCATAGAAAATGAATGCAATGTCCGTCGCTTTTTATTTTCTTTCCTTAAAAGAAAGCCTTGGTATTCGTACTAACGCTAAATGTTATTAGAAACAGCCCTAAGAAAATACGCGCGCTGATTGGTTAAAATCGTGTTTCTGTAACTCGATGGAACAAAGAACTAGCACGAGCTGTTGACGTAATGATGGCGCATGCAAAGAGAATTCACATTTTGATGATCAAAGTAAACAAGTTGTTTTCCTTTTTTTCGTCGCGGAGTTTTCTAAAAGAAATAGAAAACATGTTCTCCTTGTTTCTATAGAGTTATAGAAACACTCGTGAAAGTTTGGGAGAACTCGAAAAAGCTGTGGAAGCACTCGTCTGCGGCTCGTGTTCCCACAGCATTTCTCGTTCTCCCAAACTTCCACTCGTGTTTCTATAACTTGATAGAAACACGGTACGTGTTTTCTATTTCTTAACTAACTACTTTTTGCATGTTGTAATGTTTGCCTCATCAGCATAATCGATTCAATTTCTGATCAAGCTACGGAAATAATATCAGCTGTTAATATTGAAAGGGATGTGTTGAAAACGTTCTTTGCGACACGGGTTTTAAAACTCACGATTTCACATACTGTAACGTTTTGTTGTTCATACCTTATACTATGCTTAGTTATTTTATAATTACTCCTAGACTTTTAGCACAGAGGGCCACTAGTTTATCAGTTTATACTGTCATGTGTCACCCTCTCTAAATAAAGTTGATTGATTGATTGATTGATTGATTGACTGATATCGATTGATTGCTTGATCGATCGATTGATTGATTCATAGAATGTATGAACTCGATAATGCTTCTGCCACCCAGAAATTTGACGGTTTTTTGAAAGCCAATTTCTCCTTAAATATTACGCCCAAAGAGCCAAAGATTTCACCAATCACAAGCACTCGATCAGTAACGATCGCTCTATAGATGCAGATACAGTTAGCCAATTACAGTGCTACCATGCAAATGGTATCTGCGCTATCAAAACTGGCAAAGAGTGCTCTAGCGTGCATCTCTCTCTGAAATATACAAACTGATCAAGTTTGTAAAATATACAAGTTGATCAAGTTGATCTAGAATCAGATTGCTTAGAATCAGTATTTGCGGTATTATTGCTCTCGTATTTTATTACAATTAATTTTTTATCATTCCATGTAACAAGCCGGAACAACAAGCAAAACATCCACAGGCGGTCAACGGTTCCCAGAATTCCAACCGAGCAGGCGGAGAGTTCAACAGAGAGCGAAGAGGAAGATGACAGAGTGTTGGACGGCAAAGTGGTGAGCCCGCTATACGGTCGGCAGTGGTAGCTGAAATAACTGCTGTACTGTGATAATAATTACACGTAAATAAAAACAACTAACGACAACAAATGAGAGATGAATTAATCATCACTTTGCATGGATATCGGCCAAAGTCCACTGATTCTATTTAAATTTTCTGAAATAATGCATCAATGGAAAAAGCAAATTAAAAACAAAAAAATGACGAATTGACAAACGCGATAAAGCCAGAGGGCGCAACGCATGCCAAGCAAGCCTTGGTCAAGTAGGAGTTTTCTTTACCGAAAAGGGCTGATCATATATATGTCGAAAGGTCCACGACTGTGCACAATCTTGTTTTTTTACGCTCATACACTAGGCATGAATCACTTAACCGAAACATTTCTATTGATTAGTTCCTAAAGTCAGAAGTAAACAACTGTTGTGTTTAAGACACAGTCGAGGCCAAAAACGAGCACAAAAGCACACAACAAAGAACTTTGTAGGGTTTTAATAACCATTCTCTTCTATCAACTGTCTTTATCTTACAGAGCGTGGCTGATCTTCCCTCCGAGTATTGGCAAATACAAAGGCTTGTCAAGTTTTTAAAGGTAAGAACAGGTACTTTTCACTAATCGGTCCTGTATTGACGTCACTGAACGGTTCCTCTAAATCCAGCTTGACTTGAAATTCCTGTTTTCAGATTGGTAACCAGGTCGCCACGGTTATCACGCTGTGCGGCCTGACGGACTTCAACTTAACACAGGAGATGACTCAGATGGCCATCAGAGATGTCAATGGATTAACAATCCTTGTCAATATTCTCAGAACCGACCACGTGACCTGTCAGGTATAAACAGATGTAATTTCTGAAGATTGAGGGACGAATTAGTCAGAAATTATTATCCTGACGTCACGATGGATAGGCTCGCGGGGTGTCATGGGACGTTAAGGGACTATTAGGCATTTGGCGGGAGATTTAGGTCATTCTAGGTTTGTCAGTTTTCGTGATTCACTTGTTTATTAAACTTTTGCTATAACAGTTTGTATGTGTAATTGAAAGTGTTCTAGCTTATTGATTTTGTACCCTTTCTTCGGGGTCTTGTGCTGCTACATTAGCTGAGGAAACCTTTCCGCATATTTTTTGGCACATCTTATTAGTGGTGTATCGAGTCTGGCGTAGCACAGGTTCTAATTGTTAGAACCAATAGTTGAAATTTGCAAGGGTAAAGTTTATCTCATAGGACGGAATACATCTGCATCAGAAGACTGACTGACGCATCCTCAATGAACTATTTGCACTTAATGTTTCGCGTTAGTGTAGTCAGAATAAAGATTTGGGTCGTGCTCACAACATTCTCACATTCTCAAAGAGCAAGTTACAACTCGAACAACTTCTCGACGTCTTTACATCGGTTTCCCCAACTTTTCAGCCAATGAAAGAGCAAGTGACTGCACGTGCAACGTTTTGACATCTTAATGCCGTTTTCCCTAATTTCTCAGCCAATCAAATAGCAAGCAACTGCTCATGCACCATTATGTGCATTTTTGTTGGGGTCCTAAAGTTCTCAACCAATTAAACAAGAAAGAAAGGCGTCTTTGCCCCTGGACGAAATCGTGTCTTGATTTTCAATCATTAGTTATTTGTTATTTATTGCTTTTGCTAAATACAGATTTAATTTATCCACTTTTTAGGTTGGTGCCTTAAAGGTTCTTCAACAGTTGACATTAAATAGTAAATACAACAGGCGAGCAGTTATCAACATGGGAGGTTAGTGATGTACATACAACATCTCCTTACAAAACACATGATCAATCAAACAGACCAGAAGAATTTAGGAACACTATCAAGAAAAATAGGTTCGCAATGCGTACAGAGGGCTAAGTGTTATTGATCTTGGGGAGTTGTCTTGATACTTAGATCAATTCTTCTAACTATTACTATGATAATACATGGAGATCAAAAGGAGAATTTGGGTGTTCATTTTATGCTCCTTAGGGGTTCAGATCCTTGTGAACCTCATCACCGATTGTCCACAGGAAGTACAAAGCTTAGCAGCAGCTAACCTGGCAAACATGGCGAAATCCAGTCTAGGGAGAAATATTCTGAAAAGACATGGAGGGCTACAAAAACTGGTGAGACTCCATATAAAGTTCAAGGTTGCTGAAGGAGGAGAGGGTTTGACATCCGACTCGTTCTTCCCTGAGTCGTGCCTTTCCATTGATATGTTTCGTGTTATGCTCTTGGGTATCCAAGAGAGGTTTCTCACAGTGCCTTTTGCCATCAAGGTGTACAAATGGGTATCACCAAACGTTTGCCAAACCCCAACAACGTTCTTCGCAATAACGAGCGATTGACTAAACTCCTACCCAGGGAAACATATAATTATAATTTCTTCAGAATTTTATTCAAGCACAATTTGAGCACCACACCTTTACTTTTCCAAGGAGAGCTTTGTTCGTGGAGGCTCTTATGCACTTAATCAATTCTAAGAATTTTTTCTCCTTTGTTAGGTTGGTCTTCTAGACTATGAAGACGGACGAACGCGAAGTACTGGAAGAAGGAGCTCTGATAACCAATCCCCAGGCCACCACGGATCAGATCTGGAAGTTGCACGAAATGCAGCGCTTGCGCTGTGGAGTTGCAGCAAGAGCACGCGCAGTAGGTTTGTTCTGTCACGCGATTTTCACGTAGTAGCCAACTAGCAAAGATGCATATGAACAGCATACAGGGGATGCATGTAATGGCACCTCTTTAGGTCGAACTCTCGCTTGTAAGCAGACCGAGCCTGTGATTCTTCCAGAAGGCTTGCACTTGACAAAACCTCTTCAAATGAAAATGTTTTGAATTTTAATTACACTTCAGATTGTTTGACCTACACCTGTACTTGTAGGTCAGCAATCTTCAAGGCTGGTAGTGTCCCGTTACTTGCCAAACTCATCCGGCTGGACAAAGAAGAGGTCCTCGTCCCTATTGTAGGACTTGCTCAAGAGTGTGCAGTGGAGGTAATAAATAAATACACTTATATAGCAGTATCAGACTGCGTTGCCAGATTTATTTTAACGTAATCAAGCCACGAGAAGACTATGAAGGACACAAAATTCTTTTGTTGACTTTAGTCTCAACCCCACTTCCTCGTGTTATTTTTTTTGTCCCAAGAATAAGTCTAAGCCTGGCCACGTAAGTTATTTAAGGATTTAGAATCTGCAGTTTCTTGGATCGAAGCAGCAGTAAAGCAAAGTAGGTTTTACATTATAGAGTAGTTTTGAAGGCAGAGGTGACGCAGAATGAAGGTGAGAGCGCTCACCTTCAATCAGAGTGGCCGGGGTTGAATCCAGGACCCAGCATCACAAGTATGTTGAGATTGTGATTGGTTTCGTCCTTGCGTCGAAGGTTCTTCTCCGAAATTCTCCGGGTTTCCTCCTCATACAAAAACGAACAATTCTTTATTCCAATTCGCTCTTGACAAAGCCTTCAAGACGGCCACAGAGCTCTTTCCAAACAAGAGTACATGTTTTTGCAAGCAGATCACGAGAAAAGACCGTTACGTCTTGCAGCCCTCGACTTAAACAGTTATTCGCATGCAGTTAATTTAGGCGATATTGAGACCTTTTCTAGTACTAAACTTAGGGGTTCTAGCAACCTTATCATGATTCTAAATTGTTTTTTTGCGACAAATATTTTCATTTGTGTTTCAGAGTCGTTTTAGAGAAGCTTTCTATAAGGAAAGTATGATAGCGGCAATCGTGCAGCGCTTGGTAACAGATAATGAGGAGCTTCAGGGTTACTGTGCCAACGCGATATTCAAGGTAAAATAACTTTTTTAAACCAATTGATTGGTTTAATTGGTAAGTTTATTTTCTAATTGGCTTTCGTTAAATTAAAATCACTCCTAGCATACACAAGAATTAAGACAATGGGCCAATCAAAAGTCCCATAAAAAAGAGTGTAACCAGTATCCCGAGCCAAGCGCAGGATAACATGTAATTCGCGAAAAGCGCGGGAAAGCTCGAATAAGCCATTTGGGGTTTGAAAGTAAGCGTAGCTCATTTATGGATACAGCTGCCTACAACATGTGGTTGAGTGGGAACTAGAATTTAAAACGCAACAAGAAACAAAAACACGAACAGTCGTGCCTGCTGTCAGAAACGACTAGGACCAGAAAACAGAGCAAATTAGCAGAAATATCCGCTAATTAGAGGCCACAAATGCAGTGCTTGTTTGTGGTATCTCCGTTAAAGGAGGTGTGCGATTTTAATGCGAACCGCACCTTCGTTTACAGAAATTTTTTAAAGTAAAACCAGTGAGCAGCACGTCTGCGAACTACTTGAGTTGTAAAACTTTTTTATTTTCTCCTA